CCGAAAACGGAAACGTAAGTAATAACTAACTAAAACTAAAAAACTAAAAAACTAAAAAAGTAAAAAGTAAATAACTAACCTAACTAACTACTATACTCTCCTCTCTCTCTCTCTCTCTCTCTCTCTCTCTCTCTCTCTCTCTCTCTGTATAACAATTCCATCAAATTAAGCTCTCTATCTCTGTAAAAATCCAATCAAATTAAGCTCTGGTGAGATCAACCTATAAAGAAAATCTCACCTTGTTGCATAAAAACAGCATTTAAAGGAAACCCACTTGGAGATTGATCAGAAACCAGCTTCCTGTAGGTCTTTGAGCAAAAGCCCTGATAGACACTAGCAGGAGCCTCCCTATGGCGTACATGCCTTGAAGAGTAAGAGACACCAGACTGAGATGAATAGTGGGGTAAAGAAGCCGCCATGTTTGATTATGCCTATGAGAATTGATTGATAAGAGAGATGGGTATGGAGATGGAAGGGTTTGAAGGTGAAAAGTGGGCATAGGAATCACCGGTGTGTCTCCTAGAGATCCTCGAAGGGTGGCTTTTTGTTGAGAGAGAGAGTCGAAACTCAACAGAACCCGACGGGGCAAACGTCTTGTTTTTAAACACGAATGAGACGGAGAAGAGGGGGGGGGGAAGAGCAAATATGATAGGACACTGGCACAGTTTGGACTTAGAGAGAGACAGTAAATATGACACCCAGTTGGACTTAAGGAGTGAAAGATGTGAAGCGAACTTCGGTATTGTTCCATTGATCTTCCCCATTGTTTTGAGAGAGAGTGTATACTTCAGTATTTAATTCGATTATTCTTTGATGCTTTCTTAGGTAGAGGAGGCAACGGGTCGGGTATGGGTTTAGGTTCGCCTTGGACTCATATCCAAATAGTTTTCGGGTCTACCCCATCGGGTTTTGGATCTAGTCGGATCCATTGCCGTTTTCACTATAAGCATTTTTTTCTTGTACTTTTTTTTCATAATCATATACCCATATTATTGGCAATAAAGTTACAATCAGCCATTAGATTTTAAGTCGTTTGATTTGTTGTTTAATAGCTAAAGATAATTACGAGTTCTTATTGTATACAAATTTTAGTAAAGTATTTTATCTCCAACAATTTATGGGTACGGTTCGAGTCTAGATGGACTCGAATCCAAATAGTGTTTGGGGCCAAGTTTTGGACCCGATCCCGACTTGCCGTTTCCAAATGATGGACCCATACCCAGTTCCATGTCGAGTAATCGAATAGGTCCCGGGTCGGGTCTGGGACCATTGCCACCCCTATTCTTTACGTTAAGAGAGCAAGATAATTAATTAATTAAATTATTCGTTGAAGGCTTGCTATGGTTGAGCGAGAGAGACCACAAATAAATTTCCTTTTTTTCTATTAATTATGCATACAATTGAAGCTGGCGGGATTGGACTGTTTTGTCTCTTGATGGAAGAAAGAGGCAGCTCTATTTATACTGTATATGCAATTTAACCCCTGGCGAACGTTTCTTTTCATTTTTTTCCTTACAATCATATTTCCTCGAAAATACCCCCCAATCTAAAAAAAAAGAAAAATGAGACTAACCTAGTCCGCTCTCTCGTCGTGACTTTTACTCACGACTCTCTCCCCGTGCGTTTTACCCACGTGCTCTAGTAATGCGGAGATTGGCTCCAACAATGAAGACACACGCTCCAACAATGTAGATGGTTGCTCTAGCAATGAAGACACGTGATCTAGCAATGCAGAGGGTCGTTCCGACAATGAAGACACGCACTCCAGCAATGCAGAGGGTCGCTCTGGCAATGAAGATACACGCTCCAACAATGCAGAGGGTTGCTCGGTAATGAAGACACTCCCTCCAACAACGCAAGGATTGGTTTTGGTAGTACACCTTCTGGAGCCATAACGTTCCGGCGGTTGAATAGGTCGCTTCGGCAATGAAGACAAGCACTCCGACAATACAAAGACGTGCTCCGGCAGTACAAAGACACGCTCCGACAATACACCTTTTAGGGCCACATCGTTCCGGTTGAATTGATCGCTCTGGCAATACTCTACTTGAGACTGCCAATTGACTTTTTTTTTGCACGAAAGGGCATTTCCGTCTAAAAAATAACAACTTTTTACCTTGGGGGTTTTACGAGGAAAGGTGGTTGTGGGGAAAAAATTGAGAGGAAAGGTTAGTTGTGGGTAAGTTGCATAGATAGTATACTTGGTGTTTATAATTTTTTCTTTTTTTTATTTGACATCTTGTAACTCACAATTTGGATTGTTCATTTTCAAGTTTTTCCGGTCTTTATAGATTTACTAGATCAACACCTCGATTAGAACTTAAAATTTAGTGATTAGGACATAAACTATGTTTTAAGCCGGGGGTTCTGGCACTATCCACATCTTTTTGGTACAATGTGGAGGCATGTTTTACTTGGATTGTTTAAGGTTGATGCCTAGGGTTGTTAACACGTTTGCGGGCTTGGCCCTGAAGTGCAGCTTGAGAAAGTTACATACGGTTACCAAAATAGAAAGAAAAAGTTAAAAAGTTCGAATTGCAATTTCGTACTGACCATCTTTTTTTTTCACTTTTCTAGGAAAGGTAGGAGCCTCCGGCAAAAGGATCATGATTTTATGGACTAATATTCCAAAATATAAACCCTAGGTCAAATTTTTTTTGCCTAAACCAAGAGATTCTTAGGAATTACCAATTACATACTATAACCCCTTTGTGAGGACTCCTAACCTGATCTTCATATGTTCAAGTGGATTCTCCAAAAGTTAAGAAAAAACCAAAGAGTTTTCGTTTTTTTTTCTCTAAAGGGCAAACTTTATGTGCTTCCCCTACTGCACTAAACTTATATACTTCTCCTCATCCAATCGTCCATTTTGAATAGAAGGATAAGATTGTCACAATCACAATATCACATCTCTACACTATTTTATTTTTAATTTTTTTATAAACTATTTTAACACCAAAATTTGGACGTCCAATCTTCTATTAAACTCGCACTAGCAAAAAAATATAAAAACAATATTTTCAATAACATAAAATGACCAAAATACCCCTGAAAGATTCAAGGGGTATTTTGGTCATTATATTTTATCGAAAAAATTTAATATTTTTTATAGGTGCGCCCCAGTGAGAAGATGACATGCACCAAATTTTATATTTATGTAATTTGTATAAAAAAACTAAAAATAAAATACTTTGAGATGTCAGATCTAAGATCCAACGGTGAGTGGCCCTCTTGATCAAAATTGGACGGCTGGATGTTAGGGGAAGCATAGATCGTCTATGCTGTAAGGGAAATATAGAAACAAATAAGTCATTGCTTCCAGTGCACTAGATCTGAGTTGAGAAAAAGATATTTTCTCGTTAAAAAAAAAGATGCAGTTTGTATAAGGTGCCAACCTTACCAGATAATATAATCTGGGTGTTGAAAGTTATATTTCCACCTCTAACTATGAAATTTAAAGTTTTAGAATTGGTGCAAATTAAGCAGGTGTAAAAACACTTGAATTTTTCAAAAAATGGGTGGCCCATATAATGCATTCTAAGATGCACTCTTTCTAGCAATTGAAATCTTTCTTCTTTCATGTCTATACATCTCAAAGTCAAGATAATCAATTGGGGGTCTTTAAGTTACGGAATAAAATTTGCCAATGAATTTTTGAGGTGTGCTTTACTTACGAAGAAGTAAAGATGTGAAGAATAAATTTCATCTAGAGATCAACAACCTTGTTCTACAAATTAATCACCCTTTGGCCTAGATATGGAGCAAGTCCTTCTTGTTTGAAGCATTTGATGAGAATGTAATTTGTTAATATGCTCGACGCCTGGATGAACCTTACATGAGAATGCCCTTGGGCGTTGGCAATAGTATTGCCAAGACCTGTGATGATGTTGACATGAATTAGGGTAATCCGGAAAGCTAAGAGGGATCTTTTCGTGAGATGGAAAATCATTTTCCTGCCTACTTCCTCAAAAGATGATTATGCGGCATTAGAATAGTGCTTTCTTTCATTTTCCTGCCAAGAGTAGTGATTTCTTACGCTCCATAGTATCAGCCTCTTTCCTCTGAAATAAACATGACAAAGTGGTAATATCTTGGGAAAGGGCTCTGCGAAGTAGGGGTGGCAACGGGTTAGGTCGGGACTGGGTCTGACCCTCGACCCAAACTTGAAAAAATAATGTGGAAAATAATGTGGGATCCGGACCTGACGCAAAATTTAATATATATATATATATATATATATAGAAAAAGCTGGAGTTAGACCAACGGCCTATATATATGTATTTAATTATATTTAAACATATTTTATACATTGGGACCCAAAAAATATTATCAAACTGAGACCCGAATAATGCTCGGGTTCAAGATTTGGACCCAGACTTGACTTGCCGGGTCCAATTTTCGAACCCATGCCCGAACCCAAATCGGGTCTACACCTCGGGTCTCGAGTCCATTACCACCCCTACTGCGAAGAAAGAATTCCACCAAAACAAAAGTGGCCCTAGATTTGGCCTTTGCCCTGAAAAATAATATATACCAAAACTAAACTCGAGAGATGTGGTGTCCTAGTTCACGAGATGCCATATGACTTTAGAACGTCTTTGTGAATCCACACCTGGATAGCTTTTTCATGGTTTTTCAGCCTCTGTAGGTGCAGAACCGTGGAGATGTTGCACAATCAAAATTTTGACCTTGCTCCTGATGTATCAAATGTGATTCAGCTTTGCCATGGATGGGGTTTAATCCATGGTCAAATATCTTCATTTGTCGTTCAAGCCTATTGTTAATATTTACGTTTCAAAACAATAGTATTGTGGACTATATGAGTGTGTCATCAAGAGGATTACAAGTATATGTGATCACAAGATTATAGTGTACGCAAGAACACAATGAATGGAATGGTCTGGGAGGATCACTATCAGTATTCATAAGCTTTTGTTTGAGTTGGTTGTTTAGTTTTAGTATATTACAAGATCTTGAAGTTTATCCTTAATTTTATTGTACATTCTTTAAAATCTCCAACTATATATATGTATTTATTTTTTAAAATCTCTAATTCAATTTCTATCTATCTATTCCCACTAAAATCTCTAAAGATATACATATTTCAATTTTTTAGGAAGCCATAAGATCCAATCTCTTTCCCTCACGTCTCTTTGTCTCGTCTCTGTAGACATCTCTCTCTACATTCATTATTTTTAGGAAGTGATTATCTCTAAATAATAACATAGTATAAAGAATTTCTAAATTAAGGATGGTAAGTTTATCGTTACATGTGTATCCCAAATCATGGAAGGGAAGTAGTTTTATAAACACTTACCCCAAAAAAGTAATAGTTTATAAACTCTATTTTGCTTCATGTTCATGTTTTTAGCAAAAAAAATTTTATAAGGTTGCAACTTTCAAATATAGAAGGGTTTCTATAAGGTTGTAACTTTAGAATGTAGAACGGTTTCTATAAGGTTGCAACTTTAAACAATCCAATCAAGGCGCACTTCCAAATTGTGTTATAACATGTAATTTTGATGAAAAAAGTTACTTATATTATCTCAAATTTTATTTTCATATCTAATTATAAAATTTTAAACTCCAAAAAAGATTAAAATTAAGTAGATCTATAAACATATGAATATCTTGAAAATTGACGGTCTAGATAATGTAGTGCAAGATGCACTATTTTTTAGACTCAAAATCTTTTTTTTTTCCTATATTCATACATCTCGATGTCGAGATGACCAATTAGAGTCTTTTCAATAGTAAAACAACATTTTCCGATGGCTTTTTGATGTGCATATGTAATTCTATATTTTCAGCTAACCTTATATACACTTTTTCCAATGTTGTGCACCTCAAAATTCAATTGAAAAAAGTTGTTTTAATATTAAAAAACTCTCTAATTGATCATCGAGATGTGTGACTCTGGAAAAAAAAATTTGAGTATTAGAAATAGTGCATCTTGCAACACATTATGTCCAAGATTTTAAAAAACATATCGGTGACTCGAATCAATCTCCACCCATACCCGTGTCAGATCGGAGAATCGGTGGATTGGATCGGAGAATTGGTGGAATCGGCAATTGTTATACCAAATATTTTTCAAACAATCACTATAAATCTCTAACAATAATGTTCTTTTAGTTTATAAAAGAAATTAAGAGTAATGCATTATGTATTTTTTAAAATTTATAAAAATAGGTTAATATTGAGATAGGGTTTTCCTGTCTTAATATCTATATAATTATTAATTATAATACAGTGTTATAATATTGTGTAATGATCCTATGAGATCCTCACACACCAATGTGTGTAGAACCCCAAAAGATCACCATTAAATTTGACACAGATCTCTATAAAAGTTATCACATGGGTGTGGGACTTGACTTTTCTGGAAATCTATGCCAAATTTAATACTGATCCTTTAGGGTCCTACACACATGGGTATGGGAGGGTCTCACAAGGTCATTTCCCTATAATATGACATCAAAATAATTTAAACACATTAGAAAACATTTCCATATAGTTTAAAAATAATTTTAATGTATATAAAAATAATTATATTGAGAGTTTAACATAACTATATTAAGTGATTAACATAAATAAACAACAATTTCATATAATTATGTTAATTTTTGTA